AAAAATATTAATTAATTATAAACAAAACTCCTTTTCCAATACCCAACTAACCGCGCGGCCCCCTTTTGATTTTCGGTATCGTTTCCAGTACCGCGGTACCGCTGAGCTTCCTTGCGGTACCGTTTTAACTCCCCGCGGTGCCGCTTCTCACAAGGAATAAAAAATAATAATTAAATAATCAAAACTCCTCCAACCACCATTAAACGCGCGGCCCTTTTTTAATTTCGGCAAGCGGTGTCGTTTCCAGTGTTGCGGCACCGTTGAGCTTCCTTGAGGTGCCGTTTTAGTTCTCCACGACGCCGCTCGACTCCCAACGACACCGTTTTTTACCGCGGTATCGACTTAAATGCCGAGACTTATTAATGCGGCATTTAATTCCGGCCGAATTAATTTTAGGTGTCAACAAGTTCATGCTGGGAGGTCAGCCACGAGTGCTGCCCTACGACGCCTTTGCTCATGCAATGGGGCTCGACCACACTCACATGACGATGACGAAGCGGCAGTACATCGTCGACTTCAACTATCAGGGACCATTCCGAGCCCTCTACCGCTTCGAGCATGAGTAGGACGAATTCGAGGCGAGCACCAATGCGGTAAAGCTGAGGAATCCTTGAAGGATCCTCCACACTCTACTCACGCGCTCAGTCATCCCCAGCCTCCAGTCCGACCACTTGATGACGAATAGAGGTCTCATTGCCCTCTACTCAATGAGGAGTCCAGCATAGCCTATCCATCTCGGATCGCTGATCGCCGCTTCTTTCGCCCGGTCTCTTGGGAGGAACAGAGTGGACACCATGCATATGGGGGGCCCCATCACGAGGATGGCGCGACACTTCCAGATGGATCTAACTCGGTGCACTAGCCTCGGGAGGATGACTCCCTTCCTAGTGGAGACGTTGTACAACCACAAGCTGGTACTCTAGGGAGAGCGAGGAGTGGAGTACCTTGAGGGACTCCGACCTTCAGGAGTCGTCCGAGCTGCAGTTGACTCGGCTCCAGTGGAGCCTGACCCCGAGGTCCCACCACCGGCAGAGCATCCATCTGCTCGTGCACCCGGTAACCGTCGGCGTCCAACGCTCCAGCGCCCAGCATAGCCACCACCAGCATCAGCAGGTTATCCCCTCGTCCAGAGGGTGGATCGCCTTGAGACGAACTTTGTGGAATTCTCTTCCCGCCTGGACCGACAGATTGACATCCTCGAGCTTATGGCTCGACGCCAGGACATCCTCCCAGATGATGTCGCGGGTCCTTCACCATAGAGATGTATCCAACGAGTGAGACATGTGGCAGAGCCGAATCCTTTCGCCCCACTTCTCCACATGTAACCCTGAACTTGTTTTTTTTTTCTTGTTATTTTTCTTCATTTTGTGTGTGTGACATAAACCACTACTATCATATTGTGTTTGTAATAACCTCGCCTCGAGCGAATCGTATTGTGCTTGTGTGTGTGTTTTTTTGTCTCTCCTTGAAGCTCAAAATATCCTACCCCGGATTCGATTTCAACTTTCACCCCACCAAGCCCAAGAGGTAACATCATTCTACCTCTTTCTTACGCCATTAAGGGCAATTTCGAGTTTAAGTGTGTGTGTGGGGGGGGGGGGGGGTAGTTTACTATTATGCTTGTGTGAGTGTGATGGATGCTTGGAGCCTTAATATATGCCCAAATTTCAAAATTTTGAGGGCTCCAAGCAATGTTTGCATGATCAAAGTGGCCGGTGTGTGGGAAATTCTCGTGTTTATTGACATTGATCTTGAATTGTTGCATGTGATCGAGTATATCCTATGATGATGACTGAGAGGTTCATTAGGATAGGGAAAAAGTTTAGTTCTCATGTGTGCATAAATGAATAGATGTCTTGACTCGATTACTTGTTGATTACAATTGCCATGCATTGTGTTTGTGAATTGGAATAGATGGTTGGGTGACTATGTGTAGCCATGTGAGCTTTGAGCCGATCGTTTTCTTCTTGTGTTCTTAGATCCCTCTTACCATGGCAAGTAACAACACAGTTGTCACTATTGAGTATGATGGAGGCATAGAATTAATCCACGCCCAAATGTTGATTGTCCCGAAATATGTTATCCACTAGTCAACCCCTTTGAGCCTTGTGACTTCGAGGGTCGTTCTTAAGTTAGGAGCTTCATTCTTGTGAGCTTAATGGTGTTGATAGAATGACCACCAATCCTTTCTTCGTGTCTAAACATGAGTCGTCCTTGTGTCCTGGAGCTCTCACCTTTGAGTTTCCATAGAGGTTCTACATAGGAGGTTTGTGTGTGGTTCTTGCTAGGAATGAGAAAAATGAAGTGTAGTGTTGGAGTGAGTTCCTCAAAAAGAGAGCATTGGTCGTTAAATGTATAGGTGGCAAGTGTTTTTACTCTCTAGTGCCCCCCCTCAAAAAGAAAAGAAAAAGAAAGAAAAGAAAAGAGAAACGAAAAGAGATAATAAAATGGGGTAAATAAAGTAGAGAGTGCCATGAAAAACCAAAGTACATGCTCTAGGAGGGGTTTCTTGGCACCCAAGCCATTGAAACCCCCACATTGTTTTAGAACTCCTTCACTACAAAACCTTGATGTGCTAACAAGAGTAGACCGAGGATGAGTGCTTCAATGTAGTTCACGATGGGTGATAATTTGGAAAGGAGAGATAAGGTTTTTGGCCGATGCTAGTGGCCTTGGTTTGAAGAGAAGGGTTTTAGTCGAAACCATAGAACCTTTGGGTTTAGGTTGAAGATGTATAACCTCACGTCATGATTGCCACCACCCAAAAAGCCTTTTTCCCATGTCCAAGACAATTGCCAGTCATCTGAACCCGTGTCTAAGACCTCCGAACAAGCTAGTGGTGACAACCATTCCGTGAAATCTAGCATTTAGAGGTTACCGCCGTGGTATTGAGGCGATAGGGCTGAGATTTTATGATTGTGCACATCTTTTGCACCAAAAAGGTCCCGACCCCACTGGTCTTGAGAGTGAGTGATTCATTCTTGCTTTGCATGCCATATCATACCCCGGTGAGGACCTTTGTTGCCTTTCCATTTGTTCCTCGGACTTGAATTCCATGCATGGTTGGTTGTGGTTGATAAGTGGTCTTGTTGAGACTTGCATTTGATCCATGAACAAGGTGAGAACTTTTCGTTTGCCCATTTTTGGTGGCTTCGAATGTCGTTTGTGGTGGATGTCGGTATTGCTTGCAACGGTCGATGTATTGATTGCCAATAGCCATTGAGAATTCCCACTTTGTGCCCTTTGAGTTGTCCCCAAAGTATTTGTGTAGGTTGAAATATTACCTTGTGTAAAATGGTTTGCTTGGGGACAAGCAAACGTCTATGTGTGGGGGAGTGATACAGGCCTAATTGTACATGTTTTGCCCCCGTTTTCCTTATTCGTTTGTGGCAAATTCGCTCCTAAAAGGTTGGTTTTATGCTAGGTTTCTCGTATTTTAGTGTGTTTCGGGATTTAACAGGTGAAACCAGCTTCGGAGTCGAAAGTTGGACGCAAATGATCGAAAATCGCGAGAAGAGGTGAAAAAGGGCGAAATCCGGTTTTCTTGGGTTGTTCATGGTCTTACATGACCGTGAAGAAGAGCCATTAGCCGTGAACCTTGAGGTGTCTAGAGCCAAAATGCAAGTTACTGATGCAAGGCATGTTCACGGTCACTAAGACCGTGAAGAGGAGTTGTGGACCGTGAACACAAGGAAGCAAAGCGGTGCGTTACAGCACCTAATTGGAGTTCACGGACGCGTTACAGTGTTCACGGCCGTGAACTGGAGCCGTGAACACATCCTGTTCCCTGTTTAAAAGCTGAGCTGAAAGGAAGAGAGAAGGGAGAGCCCATTTGAGTGAAAAAGCTTTTTTCTGATTTCTAGAGACAGAAACACGAACCAAAGAAGGAGGCTAGGTTTTTGCTCCAAGGTGGATTTTGGGAAGATTTCCTCCCATGCAAGTTCAACACAAGGGCCAAGAAGATTGGAAGCCTCCTCCAAGATGGTTTCTACCCCTTCTCCTTGTGTTTCTCCCATCTCTAGCATGGAGTAGAATTCTTTTCACTTGGGTGTTGTGAAACCCTAACTTTATCATGTAGTCTTCTTTTATGTGAATTGAATGATTGTCATTGGGTTTTGTTTAATCCAAATGTTTGAGATATTATTCATCTTAATTGTGCATGTTTATGCTTAGCGTCCTTAGGTTTGTGCATGTCTATGCTTAGCAATCTAATTAACCACTTAATCTAGTCTCAATTGAGTTGGTATCCCTAGGGCTTTTCAAGTCTTCTAACTAGGTTAATTTAGGACAAACCTCAATATTGGATTAAGAATTTCGTTAAGCACGATTAAGCCGACCAACCCTTGGGTTGAGTGAGGGAGTAAGTCAACCATTGATTACCTAAACTGAGAGGGCCTAGTGACAGCCTATAATGCATGCCTCGATTTAGCAATCATGAGCGTGGTCTAATACCATATTTGCGTCCCCTAGCAGTTAGAGATCACCTTGCCCATAGCAATCATTTCGGTTCACATGCCATGGTAGTAGTTAGGGGGAAGCAACACCCGAGTGATCCTTCCACAAAAGAGCTTTCAAAGCCATTCACCTTTGTCTTGTTTTACTCTAATTAGCAAACTTTTCAACCAAAACCTTATTGCTAGATAATGATTTAAATGACTGAAGTAGGGGTAGACGGACCGGCCCGAGTTGATATTTAAACACACTTATCCTGTACTGCACCCGACTAAGGTTTATACTTGGACCTTAGGCGAAAAATTATTGAGGTATTCGGGACGAGTCAGAGTTTATCCACACTTGTGAGTTTGAGAGATTGCAAGCTAGGCTGCCTTAGCGCTCTAAGAGACTTGAGTGCTAGGTGTCGCACGGCCATAAGTTAGTCCGTGACAGGAACATCTGCCATACTCCCATGCGCATAATTTGTGCATCTCAAATATGCATACCCAGCAGCCTTACTCGCATCGACTCCTACATGCCCATTCCCAGGTGGCTCAACAGTCGAGCGAGCTTACATCATTACATGCCTGCATGATAGACAAAAGTTTGAACATCGCACACAGACCGGAACTAACAAACATCCCTTCCTACAAGCCAATTAACAGCATGCCAACAGAAATTAATCAAATTTACCACCAGGAAAGTTGAAAGACTCGAGACAAAATGCAAACTCAGCAACGCTATGGAGACATCATTGGAACTCATCCTAGTATGTACACAAGTTACAGTACTTCTGTGAAGGCAGAGACTTGGGGGCCGTAACTGCATCTTTTCCCTATAGTTAAATCTCTCTTAAAATCATCTTTGTACTGCTGCCTTGATGGGAGAAATGACTTATGGAACAAAGAAATGTATTCAAACTAGTCACACCTTTTGATCTCTGAACACAAAAATAATATAGCTAGGCTCAAATTGTATGTCGATGTTGGTTATCCTTCGCCTTTCTCAGTATATCCTTCAGCACAACAGCAATTCGATGTGCCATGTGATGTTCTAGAAACATCTCCTTCACACGCTCATAGCCTCTCTTCCCCATTGTAAGCCTCCTCTCTACTTGAGTTGCAAGTTTCACCATGTTTTTGGCAAGCTCCGGAACTCCGTCTTTCCCAACTGGATGCAGCATGCCAGTAGTCCCATTCACAACTATCTCTGCAGTGCCACCAGCAGCAGTTCCCTGGGGATCGAGTTAGCAAGAAAAAAAAAAGGAATTCAAGTTAGCATCGACGTCTGTGCAAGTCATAAACATGTCACAAGAACCAGGTTAGAATAGTATTAAGGAGGACAGCACCCTCACCAGGACAGGCAACTGAAATGCCATTGCTTCAATGGTTATCCTCCCAAAACATTCTCCCCGGGCCTGCATATGTGGTGCAAAGATAGGACACAACAATGAAGAATGGTCTAAGAATATCCAACCAGTTTCTTTGAAGAGGACAATGAACTGATTCCCCTGGTGTCGTTCCGTACTATCTCAGGAAATAGAACAGGCAAGTAAAGAGCATGACATGAGGCATTTGAAGGGAACCTGCATTGCTTATTCCGAAAAATATACAGGAGTAGCATAGCAGTTGACTAAAAAAGGAACGGGATAAAGTACCTGAGAGTTCTGAACGAGAACGTCGATTGCAGCTAAGTAAGGAGCAACAGTAAGAGTCTTGTTCACAAAGTGAACACGGTGTTGGATCTTTTTCTGCATCACATAGTTCCGCAACTCCGTTTCAAACTTGGTTTGTGCACCCATGTCACTCCCCACTATTACAGCATGCACAGATGGAACTTGCAACTTCCGCTCCTGGATCAGTTGTAAAGTCTCATAGAAGGAGCGTAGAAACAGATCTTGGCCCTTTCCACGTGAAACACCTGACATCAATGCCTTAATAAGGTAAAAGAAAGAAAGATTTTATTTTCACTTTTCATATAATGTGGGGAACGTTGGGGGTGACAATAAATTAAAATGAAACAATAGGGGCATATCGGAGCATCTAAGAGTAACCTAACAGAGGAAGAACGATCTTTATCATCTAAGAATATCAAGTTACAAGAAATTCATACTGTTTATAATGCCAAACAGTAAATCTTCATCTCGAACTTCAAGAGATTCCCGGATGTGCTCACGCAAAACCCTATTTGCAATACTATCTTCCGCAACCTCCATAAGTTCCTTGCTATTACCAAGATGAACAACATAGGTCTCAGGCATTTTAATCCTGTAAAGAGTAGTTGCCAATAGGTAAAGGAACTAAATTAACGACAAAAAAGCTAAAATCAAATAATGCATGAGGATTGCATCCCAGACTGAAGTAACAGGGAATAGCTGATACACTTATCATAAAGTTTATCCTAGACCCATAGAGAGATTAGCTTGTTACATAACTAACACATAAGTGACTTCCTAATCTCCAGATATGAAAAGTAAGCTACGAAGACAAAATTTGAAAGCAAGGAATAAAACTGCAATCCACATTGACATAAAAGTTGCAAAGATTGAGAAATTAAATTTGCACCTACCCCAGACGCTCTTGGGTTCGATTCTTCCAGTAATCAGCGGTGACATGTGAATCAATCATAGCGCCAGCAACCAAAGGAAGATGTTTGACAAAATCCAATTTGAAGTAGTGCCCCCGCATCTCGTGGATCCACCACAAAACTTTTGGAAGAACACGAGAAAGATTTCCCTTAAGAACAGGATCCAGCCATTTCCCAGCAACTGCTGTATTCAGAACAACCAGATCAGCTGTGAGGGCAGCATCTATAGCTTCTTGTCCCTTTGCGGATATTACCTGTAATCAGTGCAATAGAATGATCAGCTCCTTTAAGAGATCTCCTATGAACGAGATAGAGCAGGATTGCAAGGGTGTTAAAGTGTCTATAGACTGAGTGGGACAAAATACAATAAGGTTGGTATAGAAGTATGTGTGCCTTTGTTATGTGGCAAATTTAGAAGACAGAATCCTAATGTACCTGCACTCCTCGGACCAACATTTTGTCCTCCAAATTGTAAATCACTCCATCAGTTTGCAGAGGTTTTTGGATAGTTATCTAAGAAACTCCAGCACCAACAGTCCTTAGTAGAAACGCTAGCTCCATGAGCAACAATGGCCCACCTAAAACACATAAAGATGTATTGTTAAATAACAGAAAGAGATAGAGCACGAGAACAATTTTTTCCCCTTTTGCAACTCGAATGCTATCACACACATTACAACGACGGGTAGAAAAAGAGAGAAAGAACTAAATGCTACCCACAACACAGTTGGGCATGTTTCCTTTTATGATTTGACATGCATAGCAAAACAACGTACTCATATCTCTTCTCCATCAAAGAGAGAACAGTTGGTCACGTTTCTTTTTATGATTTGACATGCACTGCAGAACAACCTAATAATATCTCTTATCGATCTTTCAATATTAACTGTATGGAAATTAATAGTTTTGGGCAAAACAAACGCCATTTTCAAGGCATTCACATATGTCTTGCCAATAAATGCATTATTATGATGAAGTGCCAGAAACCTTCCAGAAACAGAAGTAAGCTGGGAGCACAAATATTCTTGGTAGTTACTCAAGCCGATAACAAATGGTCAACAGTGTTCCAGGTGACAGAAACACTTCCTTGCCACTCATGCTAAACTACAATATCTTAAGAACAGCATTGACTAAATGAACCAGAAACCATCGACAGTACAGCCATGCCACCACGATAACGTTTCCTACTGAGGACCGGAAATGTTTTCCAGAATTACCTCACTCATTGAGACATTTATTCCTGGCTCGAATCACACATTCCATCACTAAGAGCTAAGAGCCTAGAAAAATCCTGCAGAACAAGATATTACAATAGCACAACTAATTGTGATAAAAAAAAAAAAAAAAAAAAACCCAAGCTTGCCCACGAGACTTCCAGGAAATCACAATGAAAGAACACAAACGTGTTAATCATTTATAGCTCCACCATTAAGTACTTAAATATTCTCTAGGAAGGATGCTGAGCGGTTCAGTTCTGGGTTCGCACCAAAACTGAGTTCGCATTAAGACAAAACGATCCAATCCAGTGTAATCTATACCACGTAAAGGAGATCGAATCTCAAAACTTGAAGGGAAAGCAGAACACTAGTAACATGGGGGGAAAAAGGGAAAATAAAAACGGATAGCAGAAATTGTGTTTGATGTTCAATCTAAGAAAAACTGGAAGAGGAGAAAGAGAATACCCGAAAGGGAAAGTTCATGCGAGACCATGAGTACACGCTTGGATCTCATGAAGGTGAGGGGATTGGGAGGCACCGGAGCATTGGCAGAAGATTCCTGAGAAACTTGTTCCAAGTGACGATCGCAGGAATCGAGAGCGGACCTGATAAAGAAAGCAATGACGGTGGAAATGGAGAGCATGATTAACAGACCCAGCAGCCATCTCTTGTGCACAAGTGGCCAGCTGACGGAGTGTTTCGCCATTCCCGCTGGTGCGTAGCTTCTGGCAGTTGCTCTGCCTTTAGGGCTGATGCCGAGCGTGAAAAAGAGGGGGGAGAAGAGGAGGCTCGAAGCAGGGTTTAGGAGGAGCAGCAGCAGCAGCAGCATTTTAGGGTTGGCGACGGGGTGGAAGAGCTGTGGTTTCTGTACATTTGGTGGCCACTTGTAATTGAAACGCGATGGCTACAAAAACCAAACCCAAAAGGATGGCTGAGACTTTCCACGCAAACCAAATTCCTCCCAACAAAAGGAAAACGATACCCAATCTTTCCGAGCGTCCGGAAACTGTAGTTTGGATTTCAAATAATGATGCCCAGCCAGCAGTAGATGGTGAAAGATTTATCGAATGCAAGGGAATGATGATGACAGCGAAAACTCCGATTTAGATGTTGCGTGCGTCAATGGAGGTAACCGAGGAGAGGAAGGAAAATCAAGGTAGGGGAAAGGACGTGTGAGGAGGGCAGGGCTAGTTTGGTCATTCCACGTTTCCCGATTACCTTAAAATGAAATTCGTGGTCCATCGCTCGCTGAATCAAGGAAAAAAATCCAAAACTACCACTGTTTAAAAAAATTACAAAAATACAACCCACTCCAAATAATTTCCAAAAATACCATCGTTTATAAAAAACCGCGCCTCTAATGAGCGGTTTTTAATGAAACCGCGCCTCCAGGCAGCGTTTATATCACAAACCGCTCCTCCAAGGCGCGGTTTGACCTTGCATGGCTGTCAAAACGCGTGGCCACGTGGCGGTGCATCAAACCGCGCGATGGGAGAGCGATCTGACGGCCAAAACGCGCGCCAGCTCGGCGATCCGCGTCACCCAAGCAAACCGCTTCACCGAGGCACGATTTGACTGTTGGGAAACGCAAACGCGCCCAAGCAAACCGCTTCCCCGAGGCACGGTTTGACTGTTGGGAAACGCAACAGCGTTCTAGAGGCGCGGTTTTCGGTGGGAAAAATGACGGAACGGCCCTCCCCCACGCGGTTTGTACCCTATATAAACCCCCTCCCCTCTTCATTTTTTGCACACCAAACTCATTCCCCCCTTTCTCCCTCTAACTTCTCTCTACCCACCTCCCTCCCCATCCAAAAACCTTAGAATTAGTTATTTTTTGGTTGCGGCTAAGTCCGATCTGCCTCCAAAAAACTTGTTCTTTGGTTTTCACTAAAAAACCATCGAACCTCTGTCCGGATTCCGAGAGAATGGCCGATTTCGCTCAAGAAGAGGGCCTTTTTTATGATGATTATCAAACGGTACGTACTCATTTTTCCCAATTGTTGTTGTTGTTATAATGATTTATTTAATTTATATACTAATGATTTATGTTATTGTTATGCTATCGTAGGTTGGGCCGGATGTTGATATTTTCAATCAACGATATTATGTTGATCAAGGACCGATTGATCCGACAGTTTTATACGATCAAGCAAATCATCGTTCATGAGACGTTTGGAACGACCACAAGGTACATATTATTTATCATCACTTGTAATTTGTATTTTGTTAAAGTAATTTATTTGTTTGTACAATAATTTACTTAATTGTTAATCGTATTGATTAATTTCAATAATTTAAATCAATACAATACAACACTTATTTAGATTCTTTATAAAGAAATGCATGTCTAAGGAAATGGGGACTTAAGCGATCATCATGATCCCCCCATGACCTGGGAAAATCGGGTTCTAAGCGATCCTCGGATCCCCCTTTTTCTGTCAAAAAGACTGTGTTTCTAAGGAGATGTATACCTCTCCTAAGAGTCTTACGAGTGTACTTGTATTGCTTTAAATTATTGAAAATAATCAATACGATTAACAAAATAATATATTTGAATATTATTTTAGTTATTTTAATATTAATGTTTATTAGATAATGTATATTTCTATAAAACTGCTTGATTTAATTAATATTGCATCTTAGAAAATTATTTTAGTTATGTTAAAATTAATGTTTATTAGATCATGTATATTTCTCTAAAACAACCTTGATTTATATATAAATTGTATCTTATAATATATTTATATATGTATAAATCATCAACTTATAGTGAAATTTAAATTCTTCTCTAGGATGCATACCATATAGTCCGCTATAGGGGCACAACGAATGTGCTTGAATGGAACGACGTCATCTTGCCCTTTCTAAAAAGGGCAAGATTGGATTCGATTAGGCATTTCAATGGAATTAAGATCGACCGCCAACTCATCACGGCGATGGTAGAGAGATGGCGAAAGGAGATACATTGCTTCAATTTTCGTAAAGGCGAGTGGACCATCACACTTAAGGATATCGCCATCCTAACCGATCTCCCCATCGATGGTGATGTTGTTTGTGTGGACTCTACGCCACCACCTAAAGTTGTTGCCAATATGAGTGGTTGGCAACATTTTATATGGACGGTCACCGGGTTGTGTCCGCCAGAAAAGGGAGATCACGATACGGATGGTCATCCACCATTGTCCAAGGGCCAAGTATCCATCACGTGGTTGACAGCGGAGATCAGGCGTAAGCACAACCCTGAGTTCGGAGGCATTCCCCTCACGGAGGAAAGTTCGGAGCGTGATAAAGACATTTATGCACGTATCTACATCCTCGGCATGATCGGAGGAGTTTTCTTCCCCAAGAAATCCAACAACCTAATCAACAATTCATGGTTGAAGATCATACTTGGTAGTTGGGATGATATGGGAAACTTGAGCTGAGCATCTGCTTGCCTAGCTCATCTCTACCGATCCCTATGTAATGCTAGTGCGAGAGCGGTGAAGGAGATTGATGGGGCCATGTTCATCGTCCAATTTTGGGCTCGGGAGCATTTGCCATGGATTGCACCGAAGGTAGACCCCGACAAGGAACGGGGACCGGACCATCCCCTACGACATGAAGCTTATGGTTGTAGGTAAATATCTTCTATCCCACTCATAGTTCTCACCTTTTTTTTACTAATTTAGTTTGTTATAACGAAATTTTTTGTATGTACTAACATTGTGTACTTTTCCATATTAATAGGTGGCTTGGTGAAACAACATGCGACAACCTAGGAGCGCATAAGCTGGAGGAGTATCGTAGGAGGCTTGATCACCTTTGGGAAGCAGAGGTGAGCATCATAATACGCTATTAAAACCTACTTTTTTTAACTTATATTATTATGTTGATTAATGGTTTTATTTTTTAAACCTTCGTAGCTTAAGTTCGATCCGTATCCACAACGGATTGTTGCGCATCACGTCCACAAGTTCCCGTTACATCCCGGTCAATGGTGCACCCGAGTTCCACTAATCTGCCACCATATAGTGGAGTGGCACTTGCCGGATCGATGTCTACGACAATTTGGACGTGAGCAATGCATACCATTGGATGTCCCGGAGAGTCAGAAGGGGTACCACGGGAAAGATGGTCGACAAGGACCTACTAATTGGCCGGAGGAGTATAAAATGTTGATCTGCCTGTGGAATGTTAGGCAAGATCAGGATATTGTGACGCTATCTCATGTGGGGCGGATGGGCTACCATGACCCATACTTGGAAACCTACCGAAGACAATCTGTTCGTTACATGACCCCCGAAGGAGTGGCGGACGGAGCTTTGGTAAGAAATTAATTTTTTATTTGTTTAGTCATGCGGTGCATTATTTTTTAAATGGCTAACTTTGTTATTTTCTTCGATTTAGGTTGATGGCATCGATCGAATCCACGACCTCGCGCGGACGGCAGATCATTCGGCGGCGGGTCGAGAGGTGGGGCTCATTCGAAGGATAGCGAACAATCTCCTTGGATGTATGCGAGCGCGCGGATGTGACCATCATAGATACCCTCTAGTTCCCCCAGTGAGACCGCCGCCGGTGACGCTGGATGTTGACCCGGTGCCTCCGCTGGTCCATAGAAGGCAAAACAAAGCTACGAGGGATCGACCTCACGTGCCGGAGATCAAGCCGATTGCGACGTGGAAGGCTCCTACTCCTTTGGAGGTGTGCAGCGGTGAAGGGGGGAGTACTCACTACGATCCCACGCCCGGAAGCCAGTATGATCCGCGGTCAAGTTTCCAATACAATCTCCGATCCAGTTTCCAGTATGAACAACGGCCAAGTACATTTCATGACGGCACATCCTCAGCTACTTGGGCCGAGGGTTCATACTCAAGTCCCCACCAAGACTTCTCACCTTTGCAGCGACCACAACAACAATGGCAACAACAAGAATGGCAACAACAATGGCAATCCACTCCACACCAAGACTTCTCACCTTGGAATCGACCACAACAACAATGGCAACAACAATGGCAATCCACTCCCCACCGTATGAGCATGGATAGCCCTCGACCGCAGACGGAGGGGACACCTATCACGGAACCGAGGCGGCATAGCACGGAGGATCTCCCTTCTACGGCAAATAGGAATCTGCCACCCGTTCCACCATCAGCTACACCCGGTGGACCAGTCGCCAATCGCACAAGGAAATAGAGGGCAAACTGTCGAAATAATGCATGAGTGTGACAAAATGTGTTTATTTCAAGTTATGTTTTGTTTAAATTAAGTTGAACAATGGTGTTTTTAGGTGAAGTTATTTTTTACTTTTTTCATGTAGTGTGTTTGTGTTCGTGATGTGTTTTATTCAAAAAGATGGAAAATTGCACCAAAGTTTGTTAATTGTGCAAATCTCCAATGTCATTTAAGCACACAACATACAAGTAGAGTAACCATTGAAACTAATACACAAAGATGGAACAAACGCATGAAATCAATCTAAGCGCCATTATCCGGGTTCACCACATCGAGCCCTGCATTTTGAGGACCAATTGGTCCGGGACATTTTCTTTTATCATGACCGGGTACTTTGCATATGGAACACCGCCTTGGCCCTCGCGGTGGTCTTCCACTTTGATCCATTTCATTTGGAATCCTTTTTACCCGCGGGCGCCCTGTTTCCCGCCTAAGACCGATTGGTGGAATGATGACCATACCCTCATAAACTGGCCAGTAAGCTTCATCCGGCAATGCACGGAAACTAGTACGATAACTTCTCTTTTGTGAGTCAATGTTGAAGAACGGACTAACGAAATGACGAGGGTCTTTGCTCCTGTGCTTTATTACAACCATTGCATGAGAACATGGTATCCCTCTACCCTGATACTTCTGACAAGAGCACTCCCCCTTTTTAGTCCTAAAGTTTACGGTGACTTCATGGCGATGACCCCCACGTCTCCCATCCTCCCAGTGCCCAGTCTCGACCGAATATTCGCCAGCATTTCGGTTCATCACAGTGACTGTGTGACGAGA